TCTCAACCCTTGGCTTGGTGTTGTCAGCACCACGCTCAGCCAGTGAGCCACGGGCCGGCCCTCTATGAAGGGATTTCTAAGAGGACCAGCTGATATGCAGGAGTTCCAGCATTGTAGGGTCAGAATTTTTTGGATCCAGAAGACTAATGTTGATATTATTTTGTATATTATTTGTTTGGTATAGCAAATGGAGTATCAACATTTTTGACAAATAAAAAAATGTAAAGCCCCAGAAGTCATCATTTTTGCTATTCATCTGAAAAAAGAGGAAAAAGCCGAACATATATTATCCCCACATTTATCTGCAACCTTAATACTTCTGTGGGTTTTTACCTTATTATTCAGATCGCTCACTTGTCGTTATGAGATACATCATGATATAAGAAAGTCAGCTGCTGCCAACACAATTAACCAGAACCTCAGGGGAACGGGACTACTAGGAACACCTGACCTTGAACTTTCTCAGAGCCTTCAGGAGCCTCCAGGTCTTGGGGCACCTCTGCATGTTGGGGCCCTTCAGGGTCTCGTGTGGACTGAGATGACACCGACGTCCTGGACGTCCTTGGGGTTGTTCTCCTGTCTGAATCCGCTTGCTGTTTCTGTAACCAGTCATCCTTGTAACCATTGCTGATAAGTTTGGAAAAGTTTGTTGGTGAACTGGTTTTTTGACCAGGCCTCGAAAAGAGAAAAATTAATGTTAAACTTAAGTACAGAGGTTAATGATAAACTGGAAACATACTAAGTTAGACGTGTTATTGTCCCTTAGAACATAACAGAGAGCTCTCTCTCTCTTTCTGTCTCCCTCTATGTAGTTGTGAGCAATCTATCACTACCAGGGAAGGTGGTATTTTCTCTGTCTCTCTCTCTCTCACACATCTCCCTCTGCCTCTTTCTTTCTGTCTGTCTCTCCCTCCATTTTTAAGTATAAGGAAGTACATTTCTTTCTTTCTTTTTTTTTCCTTTTGTGACTGGTAAGGGGATTGCAACCCTTGGCTTGGTGTCGCCCGCACTGTGCTCAGCCAGTG